GAACCCTTTGGAGCCAATCACTTCCCAAAAGTCCAACCCTTGAACATTGATGCAGTAGAAACCAAATCAATATATAAGTCTTTGGGTAACATTCTATATCCAAACCATAACAACTATCTCCTGGTGACTCAGTTGGGGGATATTTGCACAGGCAAAATAAGATTATCTCAAACATTCCCTATGATGTTGGTGTGATGCAACAACAAACAGAAAGTTAATTTTACTTTTGTAAGTACAACTCCTCTGACTGGCTTCAATAAATAATTGTTCTATAATCTTCAACTAAAATAATTATTCTTTACAGATTTCATCCAAAATTTAATTATTTCACAAAACAAACCCTTGTAATTAGAGAGCCAGGTATACAGAGGCGATTGTTATGTTTTTGTTATTAAATAATCCTGCAAGAAGCCAGGCATGGTGGCACATTTCTGTAACCCCAGCACAGTGGGAGGGTGAGGCAAGAGGATCTCAAGTTTGAGACCATACTGGGGAGCTTAGTGAGAAGCTTAGTGATTTAGGGAGAACCTAGCTCAAAATAAAACGGAATTGAGTATATACCTCAGTGCAAAGGGTCTAAGGTCTCTATCCCCAATACAAAAAAAAAAAAAAAAAAAAAAAAAAAAAAAACTCCTTCAGGATAAAAAAATAAACATCAGTATTTTTTTTTCACCAGGGAGAGAGGGAGAGATTCCAAGAGCAATTGCTTCACTGGGTATTCTCCATAAATCCTTTCTGATCCACTTTTCAACTTTCTACATCCTATTCTGTGTCCCAGGAGACTGTTCTTTCTACACTGAATCAACTCTCACTCTCTACCTTCCTGTGAGGTTCAGCCAACAGGAGAAATGGCAGGAAATCAAAAGGTGGAAGAGAGGGAAAATAAGCTACAGATCAGCAGGGGCAGCATTTCTCTATAGAAGACCACAGGTCTTGTCAAGTGTCTTAGCTCCAGGTCCAGCTCTTGTTGGTTCTTGAGGAAAACTATTTCTTCCACCTACCTCTTCAGAATGGTAATGGCTTCCTGCTGTTGCTAACCCTAAGCCCTTCATGATCCCTTGTTGGTTTACCTTACCCTTTCACATACCTGCTTAGTGGCTCTTTTATTTAATTCTCCTCAGCCATCCCATTAAAGTGTACTATCTGTTTTTTGTTAAGAGAGCTGCCTTGCCAGATTGTTGAAGCCAAAAATATCTCTACCATTGTATGGAACTTTAGGAACCCAATTTTTATTTACTATATGTGATAATGAATATAGAGCAACTTCAGAAATCCTTCACTTCACATCCATATATTAGAGCCAGTATGAAATTCGTAATTTGACTTTTCACTTTTCAATAAAAAGTGTAACCTTGACATTTGCTCTTTTGATCTCTAAATTGGGTCAATATAGAACACACTACTCTGTAAGCCCTTAACAGGGCTTGAGTCATCTTGAATGATCCCATTGTTCAACCCTTCTCAAAAGACCAAGTGAAAAGATCAGGTAAAATATTAAAAAGGCCATATAATAATCTACTAGAGCAGGACTGCCACGTAGGGACTGTGCTACCTCTGAGGACTTGCCTTCATTTTAGGGGGATGTATGAAGAGGATCTGATTCTATCAAGAGACAACTTAAGATATTGCCTTAAAAAATATGATACCAGGGCCGGGATTTAGATTAGTGGTGCCGCTGCCTGCCTCACAATCACAAAGGCCCAGGTTCAATCCCTGCT